TAATATTTTATTATTAATATTTAAGTGTCAGTACATTACCAGAAAAAACCCTTTTACCCTTTTAAAGTTAGGATCCTTCAAACTTTCACGAAATCAGACCGCAATTTGAATTCTGTTCTGCATTTTTCTGCAATAGGCATTGAATGTATTTATATTCTTTAATTTCTTCTAAATATATTTCTTTTTTTATTGTTAGGGACAGAGTCTGCCAATGCTGCTAATTCACATTGCCTACGATAGAAGGTCTAGAGATTTACTTAGAAAAAATACCCATAATTCATCAGAATTTTTTTCTGATTGATAACAGCCTCACTGTTCAGTGTTAACTCTCTTTTGTAAAATATATAAATGCGCAGTAGGTAATTTCTGACGGAAGGGGTCTGTCAATCAAGACGATAACAAAATGTGAACTCTCATGACATTGTGAAGTACTCATTGTTAAACAACCACCTTTGTGGATGAAAATCTATTTGACCAGACGCAGGCAGAAATCATGTTCACGGACGAGGTATTAAAGTTTTATTCCGTCAGGTTTATTCAATGCAATTCCAATGAAATAGCCCCAAGTAACGCCAGTGGCTAGCTAGTTCACCAGCTTACTTCTTAACTCCATGATGTATTCTGTGTTTCCCCAGAAGTTGCAGTTACATTGGGTAGGGGTGATATGATGCCCTTGATAGACAACCAAATAAAACACCCCTTACCTTGAATTAAATGACAGATTTTTTCTGGTTTAAAACATTGTTGGAAACATTTGTGATAATGTAAGTCTGCGACTCCACAAAATGTATAATATAGGTCTAGTCTTTCATAGACATATTGAGCAAGTGTTACATATTTTGGCTTTAAATTATGGCTAATGCAAACATCCTGTTGCAGGGTGACTTTTATTGTGAAGCAGTCACAGAAAAAGCAGTTTCAACGTGGTTAGCCCTGACCAGGATCCGTTTTAAAAAAAAAACATCTAATGAGCAAGACAAAATGTCCTTTTTGGCAGTTTTTCATCAGCATATTATTTAAAGAACAAGAGTGTGGCTCTTGGAGCAGCCACAGTGAACTCTTCTAGGCAGAGCTGCAGGTGACAGGCTGCGCACCTCCAACCCCTTAGCATGTATTTCTGAGCATCCCACTAAGTGTTTGTTGCAATATTTAACTATGTGTTAACCATGGGTGTTAAAAGTCATCCAGGACTGAAATTTTAAGGATTACAACTTTAGGTTTTTCATCATTAATCCAATAACTATAACAGAAATAACATCCTCTCCTAGATTAAAAATACTTAACTGTTCACATCAGCAACACAGATATAATGTGCTCTGATGACACTGCAGCAAATCCTCTTCAAAGAGATTTTCTCCTTCAGAAACCAGAGTGCAAGAGCCCCCATCCTTAACATGCAAGCTAAACAACCCGCTTATTCTTAAACAGTCTAAGGCCTGACATTCTACTCTTCCCGATCTCACAAGGCTTTCTGAGACTTGCCAAGGCTCTGGGCTGTATCCCAGGGCTGCTCCTAAGCCGTCCTCTGAGAGAGGAGGATGATATGCAGCGCCGAACACTGTTTTGAAGGATGACTGGTGTTGTTTTAGAGCACGTGCTGTTAACCTCATTTGACAACAACTATATTATAATCCTTAACATTCCAAGATCAAATCAATGACAGAGGGTATTTAGCTCATCTCATATTGGACATTCTGGCAGGCGTTGATGCAAATACATGCAATACAAGAAATTCCTACTCATTCACCATAAGTATCTGCAATAAAAGAGTCTATTCAGCTTTAATCCAAATAGTTCCTCAAGGCACAAACAAATCTATTCTGTTTTGTTGCGTACATTATCCCATAAAACTGCCCTCTTCTGTGGCCAATCGCTCCATCACAAAGCTTTTAGATTACCCAGGAGTTCTCAGAGTGGTTTTGGTGCCTCTTTATTGGATGTGCCTCAGTTCTTAATCTGTAAAATCTACACACAATCTAGATCTTCCTTACTCCATGTCCTCCGTCTTATCTTCCACCTCTGTCTGTTTCTCTTTTGGCTCTGTGTCCTTCTTGCTTTACCTCCTGTTCTCCTTTGAGCCAGTGTTCTGATATTCACTGGAATGTATCTGCTTATTCAAGTGTCCAACTATAAACTGAGGAACAAACACACAGAAACTTAAACTCTGAGCTTGTTTTGATTGATTGAGGACACGAGCTGTACCACACAGCCACTCAAGGAAGAAATGACTTCTTGGTATTTGTCTAAGCTTCTTGCTTGTTTTGCTCCAGATTACAAGGAAAGTGAAATAGCACCAATCTCATTATCCTCTCTTCCTATGTTGAGTGGCGTACTGCAGAAGAATTTTTTTTTTTTTAATCTTTATCTGATTTAGTTTTCATTAGTTTTTTCCATTTTGTTAAATGTCAAAGATCCATTTCCATTTAGATTGAACTTTTTTGCTTTACACTTGAGAGATGTGTGACTGTGGAGCCCACCAAGCTAGGGTGACTGCATGGTATTAGCAGTTTGATGGCACAGGGTCGACGTCACACCACCACTAAGGTCAGTGCACCGCCTGAGGGCTGGAACAGACGGGCAGCTTGGCGGACAAGGGCAAATAAAAAGTAATACTCCCTTAAAGGCGGGTCATCTCTGACAAAATTTGGATGTGAATAATGCAGGTTTAAAATGCCCCACAATACAGAAACAGTCCTCGGAGACTACAGAGATGTAGTTTACTGTGTGGTGGAGAAAAACTAAAACAGTTTGTGTGGGTGATCAGCCAAGCTCAAATAATAAGTTATGTATTTTGGTGTTACAGTAAGCATTATTTAATCAAAGACAAAAAGAATGACAGAACTTGCATGTGTGATCTCTGATTAACGACATCTCTCTGATGCATTCATATCTACTTATGAGCCAAAACTAAAGGATTAATTCATTCATTTTCAGCCTCCCTTGGTACGTGTTCACAATTATGAAGGAATGTCAACAGCAAATGAGAAAATCAGTTCTTTTTTTTCTTCTTCCAGTGACTCAAATTTAATACTGAGCTGCAGAGGTAGGAAGCAATACAATTATGTTCTAATGTGAGATGCAAGATTTTAATTAAGCAATGGAGCAAGGAAATACATGACTCCTAAATCTTACTGGTAAACATACAAAGATAAGGCTGCAATTTTCCTGCAAAGATAAAACCACAGTACGCTATACCTACACTGAACAGCAGAGACGAAAGGTGGCAGCTAAAAACTGTCCTTTACACCTCCAGAGAAGAAAACAACAGATTCTAGTTGACCCCAATTATCTTGCCTTCATTTCGGGCTTTGAGGTGAAAAAAGAACAGGGAACTGCTGCTCTACAGGGCCAGAGGGCAGCTCTCTCTGATCTGCCGGGCAAAAACCTAGTTCAATACAGCAATTACTGCCGGTCCCAAAGAGACCAAATGCTCCCTATGATTGAAACTTGTTCTTTTGCTGTCAAAAATAAAAGCTCTCAATCTTGAGTGTAGAGCCTGAAATCTTCTGCTATCTTTCTTAAATTCTATTTAAAAAATTTAATTAACTAAATGCTATAATAAGGCTTGCGTGGCTCCTTGTTACACCAACATTTATCACTATCCAATAACAACTGCCCATGTGGTCGTGCTTAAATGTCACAACCCTCCCAAAGCTGCACAATACAGAGAAGGTATGAAGATGACATGAAGGATTTGATGTTGCATGGCTGTAAACCTGGCTGTGTAACCAAATTAATTTAATGTCTTATACTCAGTTCAGAGGCATAACTGTGTAAGTACTTAGCAGATCAAGTTTACTGATGGGGCCCCACAACAAACACCGTTTATTTGTCTTAGCTTGGTTTTTGTGTAGTGAGGAGGAAATATGGTGAGTAAAACTCAATTCATTACAGTGATCAAGGACTTTCTGACTGGGGCTCTCTGTGGCAAAATACAGCAGTTAGTCGATGATGATGACATTATTTTGTGAAATTGTTTTTTATGTGGCCTCCAGCTCTGACACACAATAACAAATCAGCCACAAATGTGAATCCTGCAGACTCACACACAAAGGGCTACATCAGGAGGCTACAGTGTAATAGTCTGAAGCCTCCTCTCTGACATGTTTCATTCTTTAGACTGATCCATCCAGTTGAGTTTTCCCACGTCAAACACTGTGAATGGTGCAGCATCATCTTAGCTGTATAATCCTTTTAGAGTGACAGCACACATACAATAGCACTTAGCCCAAAGACAGATATTAACGGTAATGTACACAGGCTATGCAGGCAGTGTATCTACACACCACAAATCAGAGGAGCTGATTTTTGTTAATTTTTATACTTTTTTTTTTTTTCCTCCAGAGAAAAGTCATTTCAGATAACAGAACCTGGAGCTTTTTTCAGATCCTATGAAGGAGAAAATCAATAAATGATACAATCATGATGCAAACAAGGCTTAGTACTACCTTCAGGCGAGGCAAACAATTAATAATTCATATTTATGTTAGTTTTGAGGGCTGCGCCTGTGAGACACAACCTTGCAAAGTGTCATAAATATCACACAGTGTTGGGCTTCCTTTGTACTACTGTCTATTTCTTGGGGAGTGAAGTGGTCACAGAAGCTGCTTCTGAACACCTCTAATCAGAAATAAAATGTTACCAGGATATTTCCCAAGTGTCATCAGAGAATAGTAACACACTGATTTATGGTATAGAGTAAAATGCTGCCGGATATCCTACTTAACTGGGCTTTTTTTTAACAACCTGTTAACGCAGCGTCTGTCTACTGTCGTTGAGCAGTTATCTGTCCATGAACCGCGGCTCAGCACCGGGACCTGTTCGTCCAGAACCACACCGCCGCATAGCAACCTGAATACAGCAGTTCGGCGTCTAAAGCATGAAAAGGCGCATGGATAACACCAGTCATGAATGTCTGAATGAATGTCATCGTCAGGATGACGATGCCAGACTACATTGATCAGAGAACAGAAAACTCGGCAGGTTGAGGCTTTACTTACACAAAAACTCCGAAAAGCAGAACTCGGATGCCAATCTCCAGAGCCAGCTCTCGCATGTTTTTCCTCCGGTCCGGGGGTGACACGTTCATGATGCTGAGATAATCCGTCAAGTGAAATGGACAAAGGCAGGTCCTGGTCAGTTCTGAAGGTTGCTCACTTTGCACAGCGAGCGCTTCCAGACGCGGTGCTCTGATCACACATGCCGTGCGCCTCCATTGCGACTCGGTCACCTGAAGCAGTCTCTCCTTTATCCTCGCCTCTCCGCTGGTCTCCGTCTGTTTCAGTCCCCTCGGGCGAATTTCTTTATCCCAACTCTGTTGCTGACAGCTGCCTCTCTGTAGAGTCAAAGTCTCCTTCCTCCCACTCCTTCAATTACTTAAACTGGGTTGGACTTCTGGGAGCTGAGGACATCTGCAAACATAAGAGAGGTGGCAGAGTACTGAGGGTGAAAGTGATGGGAGAGAGCAAAGTAAAGAGAGGAGACTCTGAGCGTCGTATAGTCAGCTCCCCTCTCTCTCTCTCTCTCTCTCTCTCTCTCTCTTTCATTCCTTGGCTTCACTTTGGAGAATCAGTAGAAGTTTCTGGAGCACCACTCAGTCCTTCACAGGAGGCCAGATGAATAAATTCAGTGCTCCTGCTCAGTGGGGGTGTAGCATAAAATTCTGTACCCTGTATATAGGCATTCTCAATGAGCCCCATCTACTGCTATTCATTCTAGTATATTTGTGCTCACATAGGCCCTATGTGCCCCCCTTTGGCCCACAGTCCTACACCCCTGCCAGTAATGCAATACTGCCATGCATGGAATTTCTTCTTGTCTAGTCTATAGCCAACACATTGCTCCCGAACAAACATCTCCTCATAAATAATGAAGCACTCACAGTAAATGTGACGACCCCCCCAGTGGTACAGTCTGGGTAGGTGTTCATGACCGTAACATTGTCACAACGGCTGAATGGCTGGCATCAGGCAGTCGGCTCAACACTCAGCCTGACATATAATATTACATTATCGTGCCAAAAGAAGGCCGGTTCACGGGAGTCCTGCTCTCCGTTGGCTCTTCCCCATACTTTCCAATCAAACCGCTATGAAGATTCAAGCACCTCAGGGTCTATGCAGCCAGGCAGTGATAAAGGAGCACAGGCAGCAGCATACCTACGGGCCAGGAAACCTGGCCAGTACTTCATAGACACACATGAATATTTGATGCCTTCTAAAACTGGCCTTCCTGCATTACCTGCCATTCCAAGATTCAGCTCTGTGTGTATGTGAATATGTGTGTGTGCATGTGTGTCAAAGAGAGGGAGAGACCATCGTGGAAAAAGCCCCTGACCCAAAAACTTTTCCACCGCCTTTCTAGGTCACAAGCTTCACAAGCTGGAAACTGAATCTGCAGATGCAATTTAGAAATGGTGCATTCTTGCTGGTTAACAAAGGCATCCTGTTAGCTACGAATGACAAAGATAAATGAATTTATACATGCACACTCACAAACATACACACACAGAGTCAGGTACACGGTGGAGGTTTTGATCTATTTCTTTGTTTCATACAGTAGAGTTTGGGGGTGATGTGCCTGAAGTCTTTGCCAGCTCACTAATAAGAACAAAACAAAACAAGAGGAGACGTAAAATGGTGATAGGTTAGGAGGTGAGAACTAACTTCAAAGCTTTCTGGCAGCCATCAGACTTTTCAGCTTTTAGAGAGTGTGGCATGTTTATTACAAGCTATCAACATGGTTTTACCTCACAGCATCACAGCAGTCGTGATTCAGATGATTCACTCTGGTCAGGAGGGTTTTCCAGACCCTTCCGAGCATTGGCACAGGACTACATAAACACTCATTTATAGGACAGAAAAATATTACTTTGCTCTTTCTGGTTAATACCATTCTGACTTATTCTTTGTTGTCAAAAAGAAAACATGTAAGAGTTATATGAAAACGCACATCTTTCCTTTTCATCTCTACTCTTTTATTAAGTTTAATTGCAATCAGCATTTTTATATTAGTTCTTTTTCTTTCTTTCTCTGCAGTATAGACTATGAGTCACATTCCCTGAGGTTGTGGAAAGACTGCAAGGTTAGACATATGGCAAACCCTAAAATAGGTCGTACTTAAATAAATCAAAGTTGAATACGTTGTTACAAAGAGCTACTAATCACCTCCATGGGTATGGGTGAAGGTACTGTCATCTGTTTAGGACAGTCTCTGCGACAGAGTGACTCATCATGCTACATAGGGATTGGTCCATTGCTCCCTAGGTTTTAGGCTTTATTGCACATCTCTGCTCATTACAGTTTGGGCGAGGTTTTATTAGAAAACATCCCTCATTCGTGGTTTATATACAGAGTTGCATCAGTATGTCAGCAGCATTTTTACATGGGGGTGTAAAGTTTGTTGTATAATGCTACTATGTGATAACATACTCCTTCGCTGAGCACTGTATCCATGGCTAAGTAAGATGTGCAACTGAAGAAAAAGTGATGTGTCAGAACATGGGAAATGAGGTTGTAGTACTTGAAAGGTGTCATAAAAGGGAAAGCAGCCCAGTTTTATTCTTGGGGATCTATAATTATTCCCTTAAAATCTGCTCTTGAGCAAGATTTGCCAACTGTGTCAGTCGATTCAACTAGTCCCCAAAGTGGAGGGAGACATATTTCAACACTCAGAATGGTTCCTGTCCTCTATCATCGACAGAGTGGCCATCCACAATAATAGAATTAGTCATCCAGAAGTTTTTGTCATTATCTAACCTTTCTGAACTTGGTGTTTTGTTGCTGTTGGCTCTGCAGTTTATGAAGACATAGGATTGATAGCATATGATAATCAAACATATTTATATTTAACACACAAAGGTAGCGTGGCTTGAAACAGTATTGATCTTGCTTAGTAATATTACACATATTATTCTTGAATGAAACATCTGTAAATAAGAATAATAAAAGCAGTGGCCTGTTCTGCTAAATTATAATTTTCTAGCCTTTTCTGTCCAAAACATTCATAGCTTATAATGGGCACAGTGGTTTAAGATGAAAACAAACAGCTTCAGCGGACCAGACCAAGTTGAGATTAAAATGTCTCCTGTCAAAATTCAAACTGCTCATAAATTGTGAAGCAAGCTACAGCCAGATTTTTCTCTGGGTCCAACACTCAAGTTAATTGACTGGCAGCAGTAAGACAAAAAAAAACCTGAAAAGGTCTTGACATATAAGTCATCCTGGGTCTGATTGGTTCCTGCTCAATGCACACTGGAGCATATTTTTAGTTGGCTGTTAGCTGTTGGTGAATTTATCATGGAAGTGATTTACAGATACTATTGACAATCAGGGCTGTATTTGACCTGATGAAATCAAATCTTTCTTATAATGTGGATATATAACCCTTTTATGGGGCACTCATTGAAATACTTGGAAATGTAAAATTTCAACCACTGGAGTGTTATTGGTGGATATAAGAAGACATTTTTTCTGTTTTGATTTTTTTTAGAAGTTCAGTTTTAGGCTGAAAAAAGTCAATGATGTCTAGGTGGGCTGGCACAGCAACAATCTGTGGCACAACAGGCCTCCTCTTCCCAT